AGGCGTAGAAGCATCAACAAAGGCTAGTTGTTTCCCAGTCGTGGAAAGGTCGTCAAGTAGTAATTGGTAGTAGAGGAAACGCTCGGTGGTCATCCCATGCGCCCACCACCAAACGCTCACCAGCTCTTCGTCTTCTTTCCCCATTCGCGCTCTTCGGTCTTTGCGTTTTCCGCAGGTAATTAGAAATGACCTCGCTTCACGGTGTTTTTGGTCGTCTTCTTGGTGTTGAGCGTGTGCGGTTTGCAGGTGGAGACAGGCATGGAGGAGCTAATGAATTGCCCAAGGCCGGGGAGTCTGATGGGGCAGCAGCAGCAGCAGCAGCAGCCAAGCCGGGGAGTCTGGGAGGAGGATGTGGCTTTGGCGCTCGAAAGTGGAAGCCTTTGGGTGGAGGAGTTTGCAGTCGACGAGCTCCTCAACCTTGAGTTCATGGAGGAGGAGAAGGAAGGAGGAGAGCAGGAGGGCGAGGTCAGAGACTTTGCAGAGCACAAGAAAGCAGAGGACTTGGACTCCAATACCAGCTCGTGCTCTGCTTCCTCTGCCACTTCGTCTCCCTCCTTTGAGCCGGCGGTGGCTCTCACTGGAATCGGTCTCCCGGTGAGCCGCCCCGTTCCTCGCTTGCCAAGAATGGGCAGGAACGAAGGAGATTGATTTGTTCTGAGTCTCTTTTCGCTTTCCTTTCTGCAGGCGCATGACGCCGAGGAGTTGGAGTGGGTTTCTCGCATCATGGACGACTCGCTGTGGGCGCCTCAAAGCCAGCAAGACGACACCGCAACCCAAACGGAGGACCGGCCGGCCGAAGGTCCCTCTTTGGTGAGCCCAGCGGTCTGTCTCCTCTCCACTCAAGCCATGGTTCCGGTCAAGGCCAAGCGGAGCAAGCGGTCACGGAGCGCCGCCCCCGTCGTCGCCTGGTCCTTGTCCGGGCCGCTCCTCTTCGTCGAATCCTCCACCGAATCCACCACCACCACCACGACCACCTCTTCCAGCTCCTCCTTCTCCTCCTCCGTCTCCTCTCGCTCGCCCCCTTCCACCTCTTCTTGCCTCACGCACGACCACCCTTCCGCCGCCGGCGACCAGAGCTTCTTCCTCTGCGACAAGCAGAAGCCGAAGAAACGCGGCCGGAAACCCAAACCAGCATCGTCAGCTGCCGCAGGCGAACGGCGGTGCACCCACTGCGGAGCCCAGCGGACGCCGCAGTGGAGGGCCGGTCCCCTCGGCGCCAAGACCCTATGCAACGCCTGCGGCGTCCGCTTCAAGTCCGGGCGCCTCCTTCCGGAGTACCGCCCGGCCTGCAGCCCCACCTTCGTCAACCACATCCACTCCAACTGCCACCGCAAGGTCCTCGAGATGCGCCAGAAGAAGGAGATAGGGCTGCCTTCCCCCGCCGCCGCGGCGTCGCCGGTGCCTTTTCTGTAGGTCTGGTCACCCCCCTGTATGCCTACCTCTCTTGCATCGGTTATGTTTCTTGTATTAGGTGGTGGTTTGTTTGGCTCTTTGGATTTAGAGCATAGCATTTTTCTCCAATTTCTACAGGTAGTGAGCCTAAGCAGTGCAATATTTCCATGGCTTTTGTGAGCTTTCACTAAAATTGTAGGGGCCATCAAAAATTTGTAACCATATTCATTTAAGAATACAATATTAGGAATAGATAGGTAGGTAGATGGACATCATCTCTTCATCATGTACTCTATTTATTTCTACTAGTGGATTGAGATGAAGAGTGCAATTTAATTTATTCATTGTAGTTCTCTATTTTATATATTATTTATTATGGTGGTGGCTAATTAATTTTGATTTATCTTTTGTTTGTTTATGAAAGAATATATATATAATTTATAATAGAAAAAAAATTATTTTATATATTTTACAATGAATATATGAAAAAAACTCTTTTATAAGGTCTTAGTTACCTTGTTTCTCAAAATATATTTATTAAAATTTATTTAAAATATACTTATTATATTAAGTGTGATTTATTTTACTAAAATAATATTAAAGACTCCTCCAACTAAAAACTAAAATTAGGTCTAATCCGAAACCAACTTCCAACCTAAAATGAGATAAATAGCACTTAAAAGACATAAATCACACGGTCCATATGATCTCCTTTCCAACAATGAGAAGATAGATAAGGCACTCTTGATAGTGTTCTTCATGTTCTTTCCATTTATGATTACCTTCTTTGGCTTCTTTGCATGAGTGGTGTTGTTGAATTTGGAGGCTTTGTTAGGGTTCAAAGACACTTCTCACTCAGTGGATTTGGTCCCTTTGGGGTAAGTCATAGTGGGTGGGGTTACAGTTGCACCAACGCTAATGCAACACAATCCAACCCCTCAATCCCCACCTACTCAATAATTTTGTGTGTGTGTGTGTGGTTCATATGAATGATTAATAAAACTTTTATATGCATAAATCTAGTTAAAATTTTGGAAAGCAAAACTCATTATGATTATTATCTTAATTTCATTAGTCGCTTTAGTGTTTCACAAAGTTTTATGATGATATTTTCTTTAACTATTTTAGTCGTTTATTTGTTGAATAACCGTAACTTTTAGTTCTTGAAAATACATAAAGTGGTCGATATAAAAGATCAAAATAAATCTCTCCTTGGAGGTGGATTTGTTCGAGATGTTTTATCTAATAATTTAATTTTGATTATGCTATTTAATTACTAAAAAACATTTATCAAATCATACATACAGTGATTTTTTTTATTGTAAGGTTCCAAATTCCTTCATCCCTCAATTTTTTTTTTATTTTGTTTAATTTTTTTTATAGATTTTGTGATCATTTTATGCATTTTTTTTCATAATTTTGTTTCCTCACTTAGGTTAGCAATCATGCTTGGTAGGTAAATAATTCATACCAAGAAGAAATGGTCAAACTATTGAACAGCTTCAACCAGTAGGTGGGCCCACTCCACACACATCTCAGCCAACTTCTCTTGACCTTTCAAGAGGTTGGACTTCCACTGTGAATGTGGAAGTGGGTCAAACAAGATGGTGCTTCTCATCATGCTTCCTTCCATATGTCAAAGGGGCCCCCATTGGGTCCAAATCTTCCACAATGCTTACATGATGAACACATGATGGAATGGAGAGATTTGTGGCCTATATCTCTTTGTAGTTTTTATTTTTATAAATAAAGGATTTTTTTATTCTTTTTTGTCTTTTTTTTTTTTTTTTTTGCTACAATACAAGGACTCAAGACTCTCCTAACAAAGTTTTTTTTCTTTCTTTAAATGAAAAATAAGTCTATATATTAATGAAGTGTCTTCATCCCCCAAATAATATAGTTCCTTAATTTGATATACTTGAATTATTGACTTTAAATATTTGGACTCATATAGTATTAATTATATCACTAGTGATCCAAATTCCCATTCTAGGCTATTAATACTATATCTATTCAGTCTTATATACTCTAACATTTGATGTGAAACTATATTAAAGCATTTTAATCTTTCCCACTTAAAATAGTTTTAGAGTCCTATAGTTAAGTGATACATTAATTTGATAAATTTAAGTCTTTGATCAAATATATTTACAAGTTAATGGTAATAGACCTCAACTAGTGTTATATAAATGCATAGCCATCCTTCCATGTTCAACTTGAGTTCCAAGTGAGATGTCACTACTTTGGTACCCCACTTGAGGGCACTTAATAAGTGGCCATAAAAGAAATTATCTTCCATTAGGGATAAGATTTCAAATAACAGATATCTGTCCTAAATTGTTTTTGTTTCATATTATTGACATATAAAAAATATATATTAGAGCCAGTGGTGGGACAAGAAAATTGCATGCTTCATGAAGTTGATATGTGACATGTGAAAGTTGAATGACTTTCCATTGCAAATGGATTGGTAGCTCAATAATTATATTATTGTTTTATAAATTTTAGATAATAGACTAATTTGGGTATTGAAAAAATTTTATCGAGAACATTATAGACATAATAGATAAGAAAATTACATGCTTCATGATGTTGAATATTAATAGCTAAACTAACGTCGAACATTCGACAAAAAAAAAGACTCAATATTATATTTATAAGATTTAATATCATTAGTAGTAGATTTAGAAAATATTCATCCCAAAATCATAACTTAACATGTTGGTATATTAGTAGATTTACTTAAAATTTTTATTTTTATTTATTTTGAGATCGACTTTAGCGTTAGAGAGATCATATCGTTAACCCCATAAGATCTTGATCTTTTTGACTCTATTTTAATTTTATATATATAGGGAGGGGCTCGAAGAAGTAATTCGAGCATATGTTATACGTGACATTTCCCATGTAAGCAGTACTTTCGGTCGACAACAGAGAGAGATTAAGGTTCCAGCAAATTAGTTCTCCAACGAATCCGACAAATTGATTCTTATTTGAACTGTTCGTTGGAATCTGATGACCCACCCACCAGATGACAAATGAGCATTCTTATCCAAATGGCTGAAAGAAATTTGCAGACTTGTACTCTTCATGAAGGAAGCTTCGGCGGCTGGAGCTTCTGCTGCAAACACCGCATACAGACCACCTTAAGAAGGCTGTTTGAAGGCGGAAGTCTGCACATACGAGGAAGCTTCATCGATCATCACGGATAAGAGCTACAAGACTGCAGGTAGATAGAGGGGATAGAGAATTAATTATCTGGGAGAGTGTGATTCTTCCAGAGAGGGGACACAACTGCAGAACAAGTATACTGAAAACATGCTCAAAACAGATCAGTCATCGACCAGAATTAGGAACTTCTCTTAATTTAATCTGTGCATTCATTAATTTGTAAAATAAGTAATCTCTCATGCAAATTTAAATCCCTATCTTTATAATACTAAATATTTTTTTACTGAAAAAATAAATCATATATTCTTCTTCGTGGGTCACAGGTGATAAAAAAAATTTCTCCAAGATTGATCGGCCATCATAAAAAATCCATACAAGAACTAAAGATGATCAGAAAACAAACTCTTGAACAAGTCAGAAATGCAGCTGAAAGGGAAGGGAAGGGAAGGAAAGGCATCACCAATGGCCACCTTCACAAAAACATCTTTCTCGTGGCCCTACCTGCACAACCTCCGTCGAGGTCTGGGAAGATATGTGCACGAGAGGTCTTACGGAAGTCACCTTGAAGCCAAAAAACAACTCTCGAGGCAGGGGTAGCATTGAGTTTGATGGAGACTGAATGACTAATGTCCAGGTTTAATAGATCCTCCTCCTCGGAGAATTCACGGAGGAGGAACAGTGTACTTGCTGGGTCTTAGTACAACCAAACCATAGTAATCGCAACGCTTAAAGCTTTATTACAGTAGTGCAGAGGAGCAGCATTTCTAGTAGTATACTGGTAACCATTCCTTGCCATCGATGAAGTCTATGGTGATGAAAGGTGAAGCCTCTTCTTCGTTGAGTTGCTTCGACCAAGGAACTCGAAGAGTTGTGTTGCTCCCCGGACCACGACAGTCGTACTCTCCGTACAGTAAATTGCTACAGCAGAGTATACACGAGTATCAATCAACATTCAATCTGTGACACGCACAAGTAAATGATGCGAATGCTTACTCTGTGCTGCCATCATAACTCCAATTAGTCCACCCTGCAGCTGTGACGGTCCTGGAGAGATAACTTTTAGCAAAGATGACACGAGAGTGAGGCCCCTTTGCTCGACCAAGATACGCGTCTCCCACCCCGTACACCTTGCCTTTGAGGAAGACAAAGCCACTGCTGTCATCTGAAGACGGCCTGTTCTGAGCAGTGATGGAGCCAAGTATCTTGATTCTCTTGTCATGCAGCACAAAGATCTCACAACTCTGCATTCGTTAAATGAGGAAACATTGAGTGCTGGATGATTGTATTGCATGCGCTGCGTAAGACGAAAAGAACACACACTTTCCTGGAATATAGACTGCCCACGGCCGAAGATGAAATCGATGTTGCCTTGGATGTAGCTACTCTCGTAGTAGTGCCGACCCTTGTAGTCGAACAGGGTATTGTGTGGGCTGTAGAAGGCGCAATGGTAGAATGCTACCTTATCTCCGGCCACCATGGTTGCGACTGACTGGTTATGTGGAGCGTCGGCAACGGCGATGAGGGCATCATTCTGTCATGGATGTACCGATGGTAAACAACAGGGCAGGGCATAGGAGAATCGAAGCGATGGGAATTGGGCAAAGGCAACCTTGAAGCTAATGCCAAAGGCAACGAAGTTATCAGCCCAAACAGTGAAGGTCGCAGAGAGAGTGTTATTGGTTGAGCTATCATCCCACACGATTGCGGTCCTTCCTTTTCCATTTCCTCTGAGGAATATATACTGCTTCTCCTTCGGGATCACCACTTTCTCTCTGCAACAGCAACGACAACGCATGTTTGTCATTGCACATCACCTGCACTCTGATGAAAGCATGAAAACCCAAAGGGCTTGTCGATGAAATTACATTACCTGTAGATGCCAGACCTGCAATGGACGATGATCCAATCTGAGTTACCCATGGGGACCGCATCAACGGCGGCCTGCACCGTCTTGAATTCCTCGGAAGGACCCACAAGGATGGTCCTATTGGTTTTGATCTTGGAAGTGATCAAGGGGCCATCGATGATGTCTTTGCTCTTGTGCGGGAGAACTCCTGCGAACATGGAAGAAAGGAGGAGGAGGAGGAGGACGGAAGCAATTCTAGTCGACATCGGCATGTCTCACCACAGGTAAATTACTCACCCATTAACATAGGTGGAAGGAAGGAAGGAAGAGGAGGAGGAATTAAGACGAGGTTTGTTTGATGTTGTTTGGCTTTCGGAGGTCGAGAGGTAAACACGGAAGCAATTTAAAATGGAAAAGCCTCTCTTAGTCATTTATCGTTGACGGTTTAATTTATATCCATCAAATCAATATATATATATATATATATATAGCATATAATTCTAAATGGAAAAAAAGGGTAATTAAATGGATTTTTTTTTCTTTTTCAAATAGAGTCAAAGGCTAATTAAGATATTTTGTTAATATTTTTTCACCTCTGTATTCATAAGATATCTATCTCGGAAAAAGAAAACAAAATATAACTATAATGATAAGATAATTAAGTGAAGACTCAATTAAAAATGATTATTAGATTTTTATTAAAAAAATTAATATCGATGATACTGATTTGCTAACAACACTCATCAATACCGCCCCAACCATAAAGAAAGGGAGAGCGTAGGGAAGGAGGAGGAAAAGGCAGGGGAAGAAGCAGAGGCATACCGATCGGAGACGAAGATGACCCCAGCAGGAAGCAATAAAGAAGAGGGTAGCTGAAAGTTGCTTTCCGATCCTCGCATCCCTCGCACAGAACCATGAGATCGCCGGGGTTATAAGGCATCTCATGTTCGGAGTACCCTAACACAAGATAACAATTGACCGATGTATCTACAATTACCACAAAGCTAAAATCAAGAACAGGAAGAAGAAAGAGAGAAAGCAAGCAAGGCCTACACGGTCAGGGGTGAAGGCCCAATTGGCCGCCTTGTAATCGAAGCGACAGAAGTAGTCCTCGGCGCCGACATTCTCCAGCTTGGTGTAGTTCTTGAAGGAGTGGACGACGCACTCGCACTCAATGGTGTGCGCGTCGAAGTGGCCGGACAGATAAGCCTCCTTGGCGCCGTGGAACTGCCGGCGGCCCCTGATCGGCTCCACGCGCACGTTGTTGAGATGGTCCGCCGCGATCTGAGATCCTTCCTGCCGGGCTTGGTCTTGACCACCGGGTACAACTTCTCGTCCGGTATCAGTCAAACCACTCGTTCTCCTGCTACGGTTTTGGAGACGGAAGGACGGTTTTGAATCTCCTGCTTTGATGATGGGCATAGAGATTGAGGAGATGGACCGACGGACGGTAGATGAAACCCTAATCGACGGGAGGGGAGGGGAGGGGAGGGGAGGGAAGAGAGCGCGCCATTCGATTCCGAACAGTAGTAGTGAGGTGGCACGAAGAAGGGGAGGTTTTTAATTACGTCACATATCCCCCCTGCAATTTCAATTATTCTTTTATTAATCCCTCTTAATTTAAATTCAAAATTTATAATGCCTAAATCCCCTTAATGTAACTACAAATTGCAGTATATCAATCATGCCTCTAATTTTTAGATCTTCAATTAAGACTTGTAATTTTCAATCAAACTATATTTTATTTTTATTTTATTTTTCTCGTCGAGGAGATATTATCCTACAATAAAATTATAAATTTATTTAATAAAATATAAATTAAATTGCTATTGACAACTAATTATCAAACTATATTTTATTTTTATTTTTATTTTTATTTCTCGTTGAGGAGATATTATCGTTGACCTCGGCAGTCTTTGTTTCCCAGCTTCGCTTTCCAACAATAGCCGACACGCAGCTCACGTTGTGTGGCAAAGGAGTTGACCCGGTCCGGCGTCAGCAGCAAGCTTCTCTCTCCACACCCACGCCGCAAAAGTTTTAGGAAACGGTTGATGAGCCATTCAAAGAGCGGTGGACTTGCTCGGATTCCAAATTCGCCGAGGAAAAGGAAAGGGGCGAAAGGGAGAACTTGGTCACCATGCCGAGCGTCCTCCGGCTGGCCATCGGCGCCATCAAGGACCAGACCAGCATCGGCATCGCCAAGTTCTCCAAGCGCTCCGCCAACCTCGAGGTTGCGGTCCTCAAAGTCACCTCCCACGACGAGGTCCCCATCGAGGAGCGTCACCTGACGGAGGTCCTCCTCCTGTCGGCGTCCTGCCCTTCCTCTGCCGCGACTTGTGTCCGTATCCTGTCCCGCCGCATCTCGCGCACCAGCAACTGGGTGGTCGCCCTCAAGACCCTCGTTTTGGTCTTCCGCTTGCTACGCAGCGGGCGATCCCAGTTCATCCACGAGGCTCTCGCGGCTCCCCAGGGCTCCCGTCGCCGCCGCCGCCTCCTCGACCTCTCCAGCTTCCGCGACCACTCCGCCACCTCCAGTCCCTGGGACTACACTGCCTTCGTTCGCACCTTCGCCGTCTACCTCGACGCCCGCCTCCATTCGGCTCTCCTCGGCAAGCTCAGCAACCTTCGCAGCCGCCGTCCCTTGACCGCTGCCAACCTCTTCGCTAACATGAAGACGCCCCTCATCCTGGAACACATCGAGCACTGGCAGAGGCTCCTCGACCGTGCGATCGGCACCCGACCCACCGGCCCCGCCAAGGTCAACCGCCTGATCCAGATCGCGCTCTACGTTGTCGTCTGCGAGACCTTCAGCCTCTACCACGACATCTCCCACGGGTTGTCGCGGTTGCTCGATAACTTCTTCCACTTGCAACCTGAGTCACGTCTCAAGACATTCCAGGCATGCATGAAGGCACGTAAACAATTTGAAGAGCTCGAATCCTTCCACGATTTCTGCAGAAAGATCGGCGTCGGGAGGATGTCGGAGTACCCGAGGGTCCAGCAAATCTCAGCAACCCTCCTCGGAGCGTTAGAAGAGTTCCTCAAGAACCGACCGAGTTCACTCGCCACCTCGCCCAACGCCAAGCCCAAGTCATTTCCTTCTCTGCACCCGACCGCTTTGGAGCGGGAACAGGAGGATACGACGACAGCTCGCAGGCCACCGACGATGAGCGAGAGGGAATCGGTAGCGTCACGCCACAAGGACTGGCAGCTTCAACCCATCTCAAGCAGCGTCAACATCAACATCGGAGGGAATCATCAGCACACTGATACGGATTCTGAAGGATGGGAGATCTTGCTCGTCAGGAGCTTGAACGGCATGTCAAATGAAGCTGGTGTTATCGATCCTCCTGCACAGAGCTTACTCGACCGGAGAGTTGCAGATCGAGCTGAGGACCTTCAGAACCCATTTCTCAGTGATCATGACAACAGAAGCCGTGCGATGATACCACCACCCACGTTTTGCGCAAGGAAACTAAATGCAGAACAAGCATACCAGGAAATGGATCCTTTTAATGAGGCAGCAACGGGGGCTTATTCGTTGAGATCCGATGGTTTGATGAGGCAGCGACGGGTGCTTCGTGAACAACACATGTGGATGCAACAGCAGAGCAAGATCATGGCGAAGAGATTAACACGTTAAATTTGCTCGCAGCGTTCACGCCGATGTGGTATAGTGTCAGCCATATAGGAATATAGAAGAACTGTTTTTCTAGGTAGACCAGCGTACATTTGCTAAATAGGTATTCTTGAGCGTAATGTCAACGCATTGACCAGAATATGTGATCTGTAAGTTTTAATGGCTCAAGTCAAAGGCAGATTTATTTATATATATATTTGTTTTGTTTTGTTTTATTTTATAGAATGCATGAAAATGCTGAAATCACCGAAAGATAATGGACTCATACGAAAAGCAGATGATGATATATAAGACCAACATAAGATGGCATGAGCAAGAAGAAGAAGAGTACAAAGCGTCACCATTGGCTTAGTTCGTTAACACACATTGCAGAACACGAGAAACACACGATACAAATCCTTGATATAAGCTTAGCCGGATCCTCCGAGAACTTTCTTGAGCTTCTTCACCTGCTCGTCGTCGAGGAAAGTGACCTTCTCCACCAGCGGAGAGGGCAAGCTGTTGGCAAAGAGCGCAAATGCGGTGATCTGAAGCCCAGGGTTGGGGCTACTGAAGCTCACGAATGCGACGGCGTTGACGTCCCCGGCATTGATCTGGAAGTGAAGCTGGCCTTGCGGGAAGACCATGGTGTCTCCCTTGTTGAGCGTCGTGAAGTAGACATCGTTGGCGGAGGAGATGAAACCAGCGCAGATGGTGCCTTCGATGACGAAAAGCAGCTCGGAGCCACCGGGGTGGGTGTGAAGGGGGACGACGCCGTCGGGGGCGATGTCGAGGCGGGCGGCAGACATGCCGAGTCCGTTGACGCCCGGGAACTGGCTGACGAAGGCTGGCGTCACGGCGGCCTTGATGAGGTTGGAAGTATCGCCGGGCACACCGAGACCCGTGAAGACGAAGTCGTCGCAGGTGACTGTGGAGACTTCCTTGCAAGGGTAACCTGCAGGGGTATCAGAGGAGGAGAGTTCGCCCACGCAGAAGTCCTGCACAAGGCCATTGGCAGCCGAGAGGAGGAGGAGGAGGGAGAGGAAGACGCACGGCGGAGTTGTTCTACCGTCGGCCATTCTGCTTTGCTCTTCTCTGACTTCGGCTTGGAGGGGGTAATATAGAGGAGATGGAATGCAGTGCAGTGCAGCGCATGCAAGCGTTTCACGTGCATGGACATGCATTATTGAGCCGAAAGATCACGTGAAGTCCTGTCGACCCTCAAACAAATATCTTAGATTTACATGTACGAAGTTGAGATTCTTTTCATGATAAGGAATTCTTTTAGCTCGATTATAATCATCTTGTACATTGTTTTCACACATACAACTCTGAAATATCTAATCTCTCATCCTCTTTAAAAGTACATGCAGGAGGAGGGTTGGGTGAATTAATGTAAATGATATGATGTCAACATCCTATCCACCCGTCATCACACGCCGGATGTGGTGATCGGACGAAGGCGGCAGAAGAAGAAGACAGTTTGACAGCTCTTCGGGTCAATTCCACCGAGCATCTTTTTGATATAGCTCCAGCAGCGCTTTCCCTTTCTTACACGGCAGGGAAGGGGACCGGAGAAGCCAACGGAAGAAGGTGGATTCCACACATGAACGGAAGACCTTCTCGTGGTCCGACGACTCACTCAATCAGTGGTCGGCATATTCCTAGGATCTAATGAAACATACATAACCTGGCTGAAGTTTCACCTCTTATCGTTAACACAGTCGGAGAAGAGAGAGAGAGGGTTTGGCTTCGTAAGTCATTCTGCAGCAGAAAGCTTATCCAACGTGCTGTTCTTGTCGACAAGCATCGAATGGGTTGGCAGCGAGAGGGTTAGCCGGTGCATGATTTCTTGATTTCACCTTGCGATCATCATGGTAAGAAGAGAAGTAAGGCAAAGCATCTATGAAAGATGTGAAGAAGGGAGAGGAGGAGTGCTCGTAGTTAGGGGGCACTTTATAGTCGTCATTTATGTTGAGGTCGACTCATATTCTCAATCTAAAGTGTACTCTTTAGAGAATCCTTAATGTAATCAAATTATCCTCTTCTAATGATTTTTATTATTTTATTCACTATCGAAGATATGCATAATGATTTACAAATAAAAATAGTTCTTTTCAATTTATCGAATGACTGTATACATTCACATCGATATTTTTATTTCAGTGATATTATTTGTTGTTTAGTAATTCATCGATATTCTTAATTCAAGTTATGTTTATTAAAATACATAAATATTATTATTTTAAATTTGTAAAAATCTCATCGTTAATGTCACTTCAAACATTAGATAATATTAGTTCTTGAGGTGGATCGTATCGATGATGATATGATTAGCCTGACTTGATTCAAGCCCACATAGACAAAAAAAAAAAAAATGTCATTAAAAACTTGTAAGTCAGATTGGAGTGAAAGCTGAATCCACAAGCGGTTTAAAACTAATTACATGACTTTACTCGTTAAAAGCAAGTGATATAAAAATGAATTGAATTGGGTTTCAATTAGATGACGATCGACACGAAAAATATCTCAAGTTGGATCTAATATCATCGTAAACAAACATCTCGAAAGAAATATGTTTAATGCATTTGTCTGTGGACAAGCTAAATTTTTTCCTCATTAGTTATGAGCTTACTACTTGATAGGGATCATAGTCTTATCATCTCCAAGTGTAAAAACATTCCTCATTTTTAGAATGAAGCTACCAAGATTCCATAAAATATAAAGTTTGAAATGATGGAGTTGGTGAGCAAAAAGGATTCCCCCCCTTCCAGTAGTATGCTTTAGTTGATACAAGAACATGGATCCAAGTCACCTACCATTACATCCTACCACATACCACCAAGCCAAGAGACAAGAACAGCATGCCATAGAAAGGGTTCTTCCAATAACTAAGAATAAATAATAGAAAGATCAAGCTACATGAACATGAGGAATGGGGTGTGTTTGGAATCTTCTCCTTTCATCTTTTTCTTCTTTTTTTTTTTGTGTTGGATACTTTCCCACTTCACTTATTTCAAGGAAGGCATGCCTTTCTCATCCACTTTTTCTCTTTGTAGTCCCTCATACACTTTAAGAGACTACCCCACATCTTTAGAAATGGTATTATAAAAGAACCCCAGCAAGCTAAAAGAAAGAACAGACAAGAAAGCTTGGAGAAAGGATTACCAGTTCAACTTAGTATTTACCTGCAAATAGATTGAAACAACATATGTTAAGGGCTTGAATCTAATGGTACTTTGGATAACATGATGCATATGAACATTAAAATGAGAGCAGACCATAATTTCCAGCTTTTCTGAGGAAGGAAAGGAGGACTATTATGAGAGCAACTCCTGCTATGAGCCCAATGATAATTGCCAGTGTTTTCCCAGCCTCATCATCTGAAGATAAAAGAAATCATCTGCATCAATTTGTTCTACATGAAAGTATTCACCAACTCCAACCTTGACAATTTGGTCCTTATTGGCTCATCAAGAAACCTAAGCATCGTTTATACTATTGTTGGCAATACAAGATAGAATCATTATTAGCTCATCAAGAAAAGGTCACATTCCCTTGAAAGCCATGGACTTTACTTTAAAGGATCACTAATGAATGAATCAAAATGCTTACAAGAGATATATTTGTTAGAAATTCATAATAAGTCTGAGTCAAATTTATCGAATTAACATACATTAGATTTGATATCGATTCGATCCAAAGATCTTTTTATTGTGTTGTCGGTCAATTCTCTTATTTCCTAAAAATATTATGCACTTACGAAAGCGAAGGAAAATATTCGATAGGTTAAAATCTAAACAAAAGCAAAGAGATGAGCAGCAGCAACACCGGTGATCATAAAGAGGCGCTCACCGTGATCGGTCTTGGACGTGTAGACTCCATTGGACCAGTACCTGGCAAAGCACTTACCGAGGTAAGCGTCGCCGGCGACGGCAAAGCCACAGGCGGCCCTGAGCTCCGCCACCGCCGCTGCCAGGCAGTCCTCGCAGTGCTTTGCGCTCTGGTCGCCGACGCACTGCGCCACCGCCTGCACGTACCCCGCGGCGCCGATCCTGTAGCTCCCCCGGGCAGAGTCCGACGTCAGGTCGGCGAGCGCGGCGTCGCGCATGCCGAGCATGTCGGAGTTGTATCCTCCGCCGACCGGGGGGCCGCACTTCTTGTAGAGGACGCTGGTGTCGGCCTTGCCGAGGAAGGAGTCGTTGCCGTAGCGGAGGAAGCAGCCCCTGAACTGGATGGCAGCGCCGGCGGCCGAGGGGCAGAGGGAGGAGAGCTGGGAGAGGGCGGAGCGGACGCAGGAGTGGCAGTCGGAGAAGGGGAGGTCTCCGCGGCACTGGAAGAGACCGTAGGCCGGGGAGGAGGAGGCAGCGGCGGTAGAGGTGAAGTTGGCGTAGGAGGAGTAAGCAGCGGCGTTGGCGAGAGAGGCGAGGAGGGACTCGACGTTGAATTGGTAGGGTGAGCCCGGAGTGCACTTGGGCTGCGAGCATCCGGCGTAGACGAAGTCGGTGTAGCCGTCCGAGGCCGACGCTGACAGTGAAGCAACGCAAGCGAACAGAAAGATAAGCAGCAGTTTAGTCATTTCCTACTTCTCTTGTTCTTTCTTTCTTGGTTGTTCTTGTTTCTTGTAGATAGCAGTGGAATGATGAGTGAGAGAGAGAGAGAGAGAGAGAGAGGTTGGATGTAGTAAGCAGATATAGTTGCCGAGGAGTGAGAGAGGCAGTGAATTGAGTGTGGTGGGGCATTTAAGAACAAGAAGAGGAAGAGGGAGGTGAATATTCTGCGACATCATTGATAAAAAGAGAAGAGATGAGATTGAGTCGGGGGTGGGAAAAAGTGAAGGAGAGCCCTCACTACTATTTATCTCTCTCTCTCTATACTAATAATTCCTCCACATTATTATATTTTTCACTCCATATTCATTTAAGGGTATCTCTCACTCATATCAAGGTGGAAGTCCATATTCATCTATTTAAGTAGATCACTATTCTCTAAGAATGATTACGGTTGGTTATCTAGATGACCTAACTAACATATTCCAACACAATCATTCAGCAGTTATGTCAGCTAATTCTTTTCGTCCTCCAATATCAGTGAAGCTGGTTGATGTATAGTCTTTTGGCTTGCTGGTTGAGGCGTGATTAGTAACTGTGATGCACAACCCCCACGCCCCACGAATAAGATAATGAACTCTGCAATGAGAATGTCATCCTAGTGGCTGCACACTTTTATCTATCAAAGGTTTGGGTAGTTGAGGACTGTAAGATTGAAAAGCTTGGACATGAACTCGTTGCTTTTCGTCTACCGACCTATGGGTTTAGCTTTAATCATAACTTTCCGGGGACATAAAAAGAATGCTAATAGAAGTTACAAGCACCAGCACTTTATCATAAGGGTAGCTGGAATAGTAAATTAAAAGGGACTATTTCCTACCCAAGGCATCATCTTTCTACGTGAGCCAATCCCCACATAGCACACTCGGACAACACTACACACTATTACTGCTCCAAAAGAGTGCATAAGAATACACGACATGAGGAGCATTTAAAACAAGTAGAGAGAAGAATACACGACAGCAACAAAAACAAGAAGCCTTTGTAAACATCTCAAAAAGCCAAAATATAGAAATCTTCTTCACTCCTGATACAACTCATGAATGCCTGAAAAATACAAGAAAACCATGGGACTGCTGTCTGTGTCTGCCACGATCATGCACACTGCTGGGTTTTCTTATTCTCGGACCACTGCATTCTGCAAAAAGGACATCCAAACTACTGTGGATATGTTCAGATCTCATCCTCGAGTGAGGCTTCTTCACACATTGTATCTGGTTCCGGCAAACACAACAATAAAATTGTTATTGTGTGTCCAACTAACAATATACTAGAGTGCAAACACCAGTATGATACCTCCATCAACCCCTTTTAAACAGGCATACAAGACTTCCAAATTGGACCTCAAACCAAATTAAGATGTATTCATTGCTTCAGAGTGATAGGTCTCCAACTCCTTGTCCAACTCATCTGCTGACTTCTCAAGGTTTTGCTTCCTCCCACGACCACGGCCTCTGCCACTGGCACGGCCACGACCAATGCCTCTG